ATTACAAGAGCTACAGCAGTGAACAAGACACATAGGCATGTACTCAAATGGAGCTGCCATTCTGGTGTGACCACCATCAAATACACAATCAGATGTACACATAATATAAAATCAAGTAGTGACATGTTATGAAGAAAAATGAAGCCACATAAAGGATAGAGGGAAATGGGTTGGGAGGCATTGTTTTAAACATAATGGTCTGCACAGGTTTGCTTTCAGCAGTGCATAGATTAGACAAAGTGAGGGAGTGAACTTAGAGGATATGTGCAGAAAGAGTGTACGAAGAAGAAACAGCAGGTGCACTATGAAGCAAGGGGATGCTAGGCTTGTTGGAGAAGTCACACTCTATTCTGATTGGAATTACACTCTGGGGTTGTAGGCCTGCAGGGAGTACCACTTCTATGACAATCTCTCCTGATTTGTTCAGTCTTTATTCATTATCATCTTTCATAAACATCTTGCTCAGTGCTGACTACATGCCATTGGCCATGCCATGTACTGCCTGCAAAGATGCCATTGTGTATCCTTTTCTCTAGGGAATAGGACCACTTTCATTTTTCTCAGGGAGTGGCTGAGGAGTTACTCTGAACACACCAAAGATTTTAACCAACCCCGTAGCCTGACACACTTCTAGAATTGACATTGCTGGGATCACCTTCTTTTCAGCCCTGCCCATGAAATTTGTCACTACAGCAACTATTTAGAGCGTGAGAACAGACAGGACTCATGAAACTCCATGGGGGCTGCTCATTTAACTTCTAATGAAAGCTAGCAGACAGTTCTCAGGATAAAGAAAGTGTAGGCAACCATCAGAGAGATCAGAGACTTCCAGATGCAATTGTCAGAATCCTCTCTTGACAGCATGAGTTGTCTTCATCTTTGATTTGTTAACCTCATGGCACCTACTAAGATACACTGGTCTCAGAGAAGCAAAACGCAAGTGGATTGAAGGATCTTGTGTATCCTCTGGCCAGGTGGCTAAACCCCAGCTGTATAACCAGTTAAATCGGTTACATATTTTCAGTAGACAATGCAAAGAAAGTAGTGAAAGTGCACTGAGGAATGTTTTGGACCTTCATCAACACATCATGTAGAAATTGCATGCACTATTTTTCATCCTTATCTTGGCTCAAGGTTAGTACCAGTTCCAGGCACACCCACAGGTAAGCATAGGGCAACCCCACACCAGATGCAAGGTAACTCAATCTTCCCTTAGTCACCAGTCCCTTTTCAGAAAGCCTCACACCTGGGCCTGGGTCGCTTCCATGACCTCCTTTCCTATCTGCAATTCTCAGTTGTTCCCTGCATGTGCTGGAATTTTAGTCTCTCTGTGCTTTTGCCACTGTACCTGCTGCTGCCCTCAACATTAAGCTGGAGGGAAAAAAGGGTAATCCAGTCTCCACCTATCTTCTTCTCTTCCTCTTGATCTCAGCTCGGTTATGATCACCTGATCTCTCCCACATGTGTCACTTTCCCCCATCTATCTTACTCTGTCCTTCATAGGTCCACATAGAAATCTAGTAATAGCCCCAATGTTACGTGTTCCAATAAAATCCTTATTCTCTTGAATCTCTTCCCTTTTCCAGATATCCTCATCTTAACATATGGCATTAAAACTCATCCAGACAGACATTCCCCATGATGGAAATGAGGGAGGAATATATGAGGAACTTTGAAAAAGTTCATGGAAAATACAAATTCCAAAAAAAGCTACAAATAGATTTCAAAAATGTTTTGCAAACAAAATAAACTTATCTTTTAATTTTGCTTTTCCATAAACTTTCTGAAGTCCCTTCACATTCTTCATTCTTTTTAAAAAATTATTTATTTGATAGAGCAACAGACAGATGTACAGAGAGGGAGTGAAAGAGAGAGAAAAAGAAAATTTTTATCTACTGATTCACTTCCCAAATGCCCACAATGGCCAGTGGTGGGCCAAGGCCGAACCTACAAGATAAGAACCCAGTTCAGGTCTCTCTCATAGATGGCAGCAACACAGCTGTTTAGTTCTTGGTTTGGCATTAGCAAGAAGCTGGAGGCTAGTATCAAACCTGAGTACTTTCATATGGGATACAAGCATCTTAACCACTAACTGAATGCCTATCTCTCTTATTCTTGTTTCTTGGCTTCCCCTTGAAATCCATATCTAAAGATCAACAAGTCAGTTAGCTTTACTTTCATAAATATTCCAATTTTGACCCCAACATGCTGCATGTTAGAGATTTATAGGAGAATATGCAAAACAGGGCAAGCAGGAGGGCTGGTACAGCTTAGGTGAGGTTTATCTGACTTTCCTGCAGGGTGAACTTGTAATGCTCAGAGACCAAGAAAAAGAATTTTGTGAGGAGTCAGAAGCACACAGATTCTGAGTATCAGAACAAAGCCTTCTGAAGCCCTACCAATAGGCAAACTCAAAATTAAAGCTGTAAGTGCCTCAGGTAGGAAACCTATGGCATAGTTCCTGGCAGGAAAAGAAACAATAAAACCAGTTTAGGTTAATTTCAACCTGTTTGAGATGGGATTGTGTAGTGCTGGGGTGAGGGCAAACTCAGAAAGATAGAAGATGAACTTATTTTGGTTAAGGTGGATTGTGTACAATCAGAAAAAAAGAATTAGTTCCTTAATGCCAGAGAGGAAAATTAGTGAATTCTACTTAGAATTCAACTCCAAGAACGAACATCTTTTTTTTCAGAAAAGCTTTGTTTAGAACTTTTGAGATTCGTAAAATGTTGGCAGGATTTGGCTTTCTGATCCAAATGCAAACAAAACCAAACAGCTGTAGGAGCCCAAATAGACTTAGTTGCATTAGGGGCCATAATTCAGAACAGATTAACAAATTTTCTCATGAAAATTACAATTCATAGAAGTTTTGCTAAATAGGTATTTAACATCTTTCATCTAAAAAATAAGTTACTTGGAATTGCCAATAGCGATGCTATCTGTAACGGTATATACGAGTTAATTGCCATCACACCTGAAGAAAGTTCACTTCCAAAGGACATAGTAAGTGAGGATGAGGTGCAACACAAATGGGAATGGCAAAGGCAACATCTTGTAATTAATCAAGAAATCAGGTGATGGAAGCCTCTCATTTAAAAAAAGGAAAGAAAAAACAAACGCTAGCTAATAGCATTTACTGAAGAAGCAGTTCTGGCCGTGACTTCCAGCATTAGAGCAAAACTGCCCTGGATATTTTCATTTGCTTTCCACACAAACATGGCTTTTCAATACAGATATTAGACATTATACAACTTAAAATAAATTACTTTAAAAAAAGTTAACTGTTTCAGCCTTGGAAGTAACTTGATGAAACTGATTTACCAACTGCTCTAGTAATTTAAGATCTTTTTAAAAGAGGATAATGGTCTCACAATGTAACTTGATTACATTTACACTTGAAACATTTGGAGTGGGATAAAATGCTGGCATTTTAATGTGACAGTATTATATAACATGGTAATAAATACTTAGCTATAATAAACTTCTACAGGAGTGGGTAGAATGATGATGAAAGGAGAAAAAACTTCCAAATTTAAAAATCTAAACTGTGATTAGCTATAGATCTATATTTGCATTACTGATTTGTGTGAAATATTGAGAAGCCACTACATCAAAATGTCTAGTATGATGTATCCTCAATTAAACTGAATTTTCAATGCAATTTTATCATATACCCAACCTCTTTTTCTGTTAACCAAAAATACTCTTTTCCCAAGTATTTTAGCTATACTATATAAAAAGCCCAAGTATATCATGACGCTATAACTGAAAATGAAAACAACTGTTTCCCCGGGTCATGACAGCCCAACAGTGCTGAATTAACTCATCTCAGATCAATCTCAGAATATGCTTTTCTGCCCCAAAGCAGAACACTGCAGGCAGAGGATTAGCTTAGAAGAAGCAACAGACAACATAGCGTAATGATTCTTTTCTATATCAGCTTTTCCAACTTTTCTGCATTTCAGCATTGAGTGACTGTTCTATTTTGGAGAAAATTATTTAAACATGCTTCGGTTTAAATAAAAAAAAACAGAATTATTTAAATTCATAACCAATCTAGCTTTTTTTTTTTCTCTTAAAACTAGTGGAAAGTTCTGTGGTACAAACTCCACAGAGAAATCAAGGGAGAAAAATAATCACTAGCTGTATGTATTATACATTCAGATCCCTTAGTGCGGCAGACACATTTTATCGGTCTTTGAGCCTCTGTGCTCTTAAACGTCTTCCAGAGAACGAACTGTCAACAGTCCTTCATCCCAGACAGGGCCCGCATTGAAGCTTCTGCAGCACAAGGAAGAAGCAAACTTTGCCGAGATGTAATTCAAGACCCCATGAATTTAGACGTGAATTTTTTTGTTGTGAGCTTCTCATTCTACAAAATTAAGTCCGTTGGCAAAAAGGAATTTGGCAGAATTTGATGACTGTCTATACTCATCTCAGCCTCAGGCAATGTAGCTTCAGCAGCAGGAGTATCTGGCTCTGTATTTAACAAGGCAAAAGAGTGACTTGAATTAGTTCTCACATTCCCTGAAAACCCTGAATCATTTCAGCTATATCTTCATATTAATTTAATCAGTAAATGATAGTGACATGTTATTTTATTAACAGTAATATCTTTTTTTAAACTTTTATTTAATGAATATAAATTTCCAAAGTACAGCTTATGGATTACAATGGCTTCCCCCCCATAATGTCCCTTCCAGCCACAACCCTCCCCTTTCCCACTCCCTCTCCCCTTCCATTCACATCAAGATTCATTTTCGATTCTCTTTATATACAGAAGATCAGTTTAGCATACATTGAGTATTATCTTTTTAAAACTGTTTTATTTCTATAAGAAGAACAGATTTCATGTGTTTCATATATTCAATTTTAAGCCTATAATGATACTTACCACACCCCTTCCCCCTCTTTCTTTTTTGTAACTTTTAATTTTTTTTTTTTGACAGGCAGAGTGGACAGTGAGAGAGAGAGAGAGAGAGAGAGAGAAAGGTCTTCCTTTTGCCATTGGTTCACCCTCCAATGGCCGCCGTGGCCGGTGCGCTGCGGCCTGCACACCGCGCTGATCCGATGGCAGGAGCCAGGTACTTCTCCTGGTCTCCCATGGGGTGCAGGGCCCAAGCACTTGGGCCATCCTCCACTGCACTCCCTGGCCACAGCAGAGAGCTGGCCTGGAAGAGGGGCAACCGGGACAGAATCCAGCGCCCCGACCGGGACTAGAACCTGGTGTGCCGGCGCTGCTAGGCGGAGGATTAGCCTAGTGAGCGGCGGCGCCAGCTAACTTTTATGCAGATTTAGGAACATAGTGATACTTCCTACCCTATTCTCCCCTCCTGCTCATGCTCCCATCCTTCCTCCCCCTTTCTCTTATTCCCTCTCAATTTTTACAATGATCTACTATCAGTTTACTTTATACTCATAAGATTAACCCTACTAAGTAAAGAATTCAACAAATAATAAGAAAAAGAACACTGTTCCTCAGCAGTAGAAAAAGAGCACTGTAAGCAATCATTGAACCTCAAAATGTCAATTTCATCTTATACATTATGGCCTGGGAAAAGAAACAGAAGGTTGCCCGAATACATCAGCCCCTGCACCCACTTAGAAACCCAGAATGAGTTCCTGACTCGGCTTCAGCCTGCCTCAGATGCGGCCATTGCAACCATTTGGGGAGTGAATCGGCAGATGGAAGATGGATCTCTCTCTCTCTCTGTCTCTTCTCCCTGTGTACTTATGACTTTCAAATAAATAAATAAAATATTTAAAGAAAAATGAATATTGAAAGACCACTGTTCCACAGGAATATAAACAAGGGCTATAAACAATAATCACATCTCAAGATGTCAATTTCACTCATGCATGTTACTTTCTTTGTACTCTGTATGTTAGTTTTAAATCAAAGAAAATACATTTTTTGTCTTTTGGGGGTCTGGCTTATTTACTAAACATAATGATCTCTAGTTGTACCCATTTCATTGTTTTTTATGGCTGAGCAGTATTCCATCATGTATATACACTATATTTTCTTTATCCAGTCATCAAATTGATGCACACATGGGTTCATTCCATATCTTAGCTATTGTGAATTCAGATACTGTAAACATTTGGATACAGCTATCATATACCAATCTTCTTTCCTTTAAGTAAATTCCCTCTATTTTCAGATCTCTGAGGAATCTCAATACTGTCTTCCATAATAGTTAAACTAGTTTACATTCCCACCAAGTAGTAGAGTACTTTTTTCCTCTATATCCTTGAAAACAATTATTTTTTTTTGAATTTTGGATGCTAGCCATTCTAATTATAGTGAAATAAAACCCTTTGTGGTTTTTATTTGTATTTCCCTGATGGCTAGTGATCATGAGCATTCTTTCATGTGTCTGTTGGCCATTTGTATTTCATCCTCTTAAAAGTGCCTGTTCATGTCCTTCACCCATTTTTTTCAGGGGATCGTTTAGTTGTTAAGTTTTCGCATCTCTACTTTTATGCCAATAATAGGCTGTTTTCATTATAGCTGCTTTGAAATCTGGTATTGTGATGACTCCAGCTATTTTGTTTGAGATTTCTTTGGCCATTTGGAGTCTCTTGCTTTTAAGATTTTCTTTATGTATTTGAAGGAGAGAGAGAGAAAATGAGAATGAATGTTTTCTACCCATTGTTCCACTCCTCAAATGACTGTAATGGCCAGGGCTAGGCCAGGACAAAGCCAGGAACAGGATCTTCATACAGGTCTTCCATGTGGGTGCAGGGGCAAAAGGACTTGAGCCATCTTTGGCTGCTTTCCCAGATGCATTATCAGGGAGCTGTGTAGGAAGTAGAGTAGACAGGACTTGAACCAGCACCCATATGGGATGCTAGTATTGGAGGGAGCAGCTCAACATATTAGGCCACAGTGCTGGCCCCCAGAACCTCTTGTGATTCCATATGAATTTTAGGATCATTTTTTCTGGACTTGAGATGAATGCCCTTAGTAGTTTGATTGGGATTGCATTGAATATATAAATTATTTGGGGGGTAGTATGGAGGTTTTGATGATATTAATTCTTCTAATCCAAAACAAGGAAGGTTTGCCCATTTTTTAATGTCTTGTATTTCTTATTTTTTTGTAATTTTCATTGTAGAGATTTGTCACATCCTTGGTGAAAAATATCCAAATGTATTTAAATATTTTTTGTAGCTACTGTGAATGGAACTGAAGTTACAAGTTCATCTCAGCCATGGCATTCTTTGTATATATAAATGCTATTGAATTTTGTGTGTTGATTTTATATCCTGCCACTCTACCCAACTCTTTTATGAGTTCCAACAGTCTTTTAGTTTAACCCTAGGTTCCTACATATGGGATAATGTCATCTGCAAACATGAATAATTTGACTTCATTCTTTCCAATTTGTATCCATCTGATTTCTTCTTTTTCTTGCACAATGACTTTAGCTAAAACTTCAAGAACTATATTGAATATTAATGATGAAAGTGAACATCCTTGTCTGGTTCTGCATCTCACTGGGTACGCTTCCACCTTTTCATCATTCAGCATGATGCTGGCTATGGGTTTGTCAAATAATGCCTTGCTTAAGTTTAGGTATGTTCATTCTACACCCAATCCACTTAGGATTTTTATCATGAAAAGCTGTAATATTTTATAAAATGTTTTATCTACATCTATTGAGATAATCGTATGGATTTTATTCTTCAATTTTTTAATGTGATCCAACACTTTATTTGCATATGTTGAACCATATCTTTATCTAGGGGGATTAATCCCATTTGGTCTGGGTGGGTAATCTTTTTGATTTATTGTTGGATTCTATTAGCTAGTATTTTGAGGATTTTTACATGTATGCTCATCAGGAATATCGGTCTATTGTTTCTTTGTTATATCTTTTTTGGTTTTGGAATTATGGTGATGCCAGCCTCATGGAAGGAGTTTGGGAGGATTTCTTCCCTTTCAATTGTTTTTGAATAACTTGAGAAGAATTGGAATTAGTTCTTCTTTAAAAGTCTGGTAGAATTCAACAGTGAAGCCATCTAGTCCTAGGCTTTTCTTTCTTGGGAGAATCTTTACTACTGAATCAATATCTGTCTTGGTTATTTGTCTATTTAGATTTTCTATGTCTTTGTGCCTAACTTTTGGTAGATTGATTGTGTCCAGAAATCTATCCATTTCTTCCAGATTTTCCATTTTGTTAGTATATTGTTGTCTGTAGTAATTCCTGATAGTTCTTTTTATTTCTGTGGCATCTGTTGTAACGTCTCCTTTTTCATCTGATTTTATTGATTTGGATCCCCCTCATTTTTTTTTTTTCGTTAGTTGGGCCAATGGTGTATCAGTTTTGTGTATTTTCTCAAAATACCATCTTTATTTCACTGATCATTTTGTGTCTTGTTTCAACTTTATTTCTTTAATTTTTAGTGTTTCTTTTCTTCCACTAATTTTGAGTTTAGATTTTCTTACTTTTACAGGTCCTTTTTTTTAAAAAAAAAGGATTTATTTATTTATTTGAAAGGCAGATTTACAGAGGCAGAGAGAGAGAGAGAGGACTTCCATGTGCTTGTCCACTCTCTGAATAGCCTTAATGGCTGGAGCTGGGCCACCCAAAGACAGGAGCCAGGAGCTTCTTCCAGGTCTCCCACATGGATGCAGGGACCCAAGGACTTGGACCATCTTCTACTCCTTTCCAAGGCCATAGCAGAGAGATGGATCAGAAGTGGAGCAGCCAGGACTTGAACTAGAGCCCCTATAGGATGCCAGCACTGCAGACAGCAGCCTTACCCGCTACACCATAGTGCCAGCCTCATTTTATAGGTTCTTGGTATACATTGTTAGGTCATTTGTTTGATGCTTTTACAATTTTTTTTGTGAAAAAGTACACAAAAATAGATTTTATTCAAAACAAGAATTTGAAAAACATCCCAAAACACCAAAAAATTAATAATGTAAGTGGCAATCACAAATCCAATTCTGAGTCACTATAGGAAAACAGTTCACTGCAGGAAGTAAAATATTACATATAAATATTTAATAGAGTAACTGTCTACAACTTGTTGAAATAATAAAAATGGAAACCATTCAAGATGTAGAGATTGTTTGGCCTCTAGGCCATCCTAAACTAATAGTATCTCATTGATATCCTTCCCTAAATGTTGAATACATTTGATGCATAAATTGTTATATTATTTTTTGTAATTCTTATTGAGTTCTCAATTTCTTAGTATTCTTGAAAAGCAAAAAGCATATTCAATTATTTCTTAACTTCATATCCCCTTTTCCTAATAACTTGATGCCTTCATGGGGCTAGAACAATAGTGATGGCTTCCCATCCTAACAGATTAAAAATTTTGTTGGTATTTACTGATATAAGCACTAATCGCAAAAAAATTTTTTCTTAACATTGATTAATAGAATCTTATCTGAGGACACCAAAAATGTCTTTTTCTTTTTTGCCATAAAAGAACATAATTGTCTTTCCAATACATAACTTCTATATAAATAAATAAATAAGACACCACAGTAAACTACAAGAGAAAATCATGGTATTTAATTTGCAATGCATGGTAGAATGTTAACATAGTTAATCACAAATGAACCTTAGAAATAAAAAAAGAGACTAAGGCTATATGATGATGATCTCAGTTAACATTTATGGAAGAAAAAAGAAAATTATTACACTGCATTTGCAATGATTACAAATATTGATATCTAATATTTGTATAATTTATCCAGTGGCTTTTCAAGATGATGTTGTATGAGAATCCAACAGTTCTCCACTTTAAAGTAGATATTCCTTTGTTTTTGAAAGGCAGAAGGTTTCAGAGCCCATGCCTTTATTTCAGAAATACCTTGCTGTTCAGTGTTCAGAAAAATGTTAGAAGGCTAACAAGTTAGTATAGAAAACATTAGCACCAATACCAAGCCTTGATATCAGCTATGCAGTAAGGAATTACATGTTCCTCTCAGAGACCCAAAGAAAGAAATGAAAAACTGGCCAATTTGAAAGCATAAGCTATTTTTAGTATCTATAACAAAATGTGAATTTACATTTAAGTCAGAATGTTCATTTGATCTGGAAAAGTAAAACAAGTGGTCCTTATACTATTTTTTTAAAAAGAACAAAATGTGCCCAGTAACAATTTCTAGGAAGAGACACAAAATCACCATTAACCTATTGTTCACATGTTAGAGTGAGAAACTAAAGGTCTTACTAAATAATGTAGATTCTGAACCTGGACAGCCTTTGTGCAGATTTTGAGGGAGAACTGCTTGTATTCACTGTATTTTTAGGGTGATTGTGCTGCAAAATATTGCATGATCTTGGGGACTTGAAAGCATTTACATGCAACCAAATGTTTGCAAGAGAGCCAGAGTGCATGGAGGGAAGACATGGATGAAAGTGTTCATTTCATGTTAGTAAAGGAACTGAAAATGAAAAGGTTTTTTTTTTGTTTGTTTTAATGGAAAGCTTTTGACTTGATTTGAACTGAACTCTTGTGCTAAACATGTAGTTATTTAAGATAAGATGCTCTGATGTTGTATTTGCCTGCTATGCTTTGAAGTATTTGCCCTGATTGAAGTCATAGAGACATATGAATGGAATCTCAGCAAGCTTTCATTCACAGGCCTTACAAACTGGGAATGATACTTTGTCCTTGGAAGCACTTACTATGTGCTCTTTCCTTGGTATCAAGCTATCTATGCTGGTACCAAAAGGAAGCAATGTGATACTCCCAGCCAGCATGGGATAAAGAATGGCATCCCGACTGGGATTATCTAGAAATCTCATAAACACAGAAATTGGAAATAGCTTCTTATGTTGGGTTTTGCCACCTCTTTTCCTCATGGAAAGGGACAGTCTGCCCCTTCTTTAATATCACCTGCCTGGTAGTTTTATTATGTGTATAACACAGTATGTAACAAGAGGGTTGAATGGGACTTTTCCTGCATTAGCTTCCACTGAGATGGCAATTTGACACTAAAGTGAATGTGGGAGTGATTCCCCCACTATCAGATTACTTGAAGAAATGTCCCCAAGATAGCTCCATGACTCTCGGTTCCTTGGTCTGATTAGGAGTAGGAAAAGGCTTTGGCAAGGACAGGCAGGGCATTGGTGAGATTTATTACGAGACAACCTGTCACAGGTTGTGAGGTACGCTGCCCCATCTTCAAGTGGGAGTGATGCTTCCTTCTCACTGCAAGTTTAGTGATGGGAGCCATAATGGGCCTCTCAGACAACTTCAACATTGCTCTGGCCTCAAAAATCTAGGGTCTAAAAAGACCTGGAAAGCAGTTCTGGGAGTGTCTGCAGTGCCTGCACACGTTGATCTGAAAGCAAATGACATGTGGTGCTTTCCTAGAACAAGTGAGTCTTGCAGGAGAGAACTCTGTGCAAGGATCTCTTCAGAATCCTGTCAAAAACAGGTTGTAATTTTGAACTGACTGTGCATAGCTGTGGGCAGAGAGATGTCCACTCGAGTCATGGAGTTGGAAGCAGATATGGAAGCATCACATTGATACATGTAGACTGGTCTCCAGCCAGTCCCCCAGCTCTCATAGGTGGAATCAGGGACTAGAACTATTGAGCACAAAACCACCCAGCCAGGGAGGAACAGTCTTACCTTTCACCACTACTCTCTGTCTGGGTTTAGAACTTGGAGGAGTCCTAAACACCAAGCACAAAGGGCCAGCAGCTTGGGAGGAAACTTTAGGAGGGTGATCCTTTCCTTACCCGCAGACTCTCAATCAGAAGGACCTAACTAGGGAAGGGAGGAGACTTAACACAGGAGACAGACAATCTCAGTGGTTGTACTTTGGGGAAAGAGATTTCCAGAGAATTCTGATGTTTCCCCCAGATGATATACAATTCATTTATATGTAGCCATGGATTGTAGGTCAATAAAAACATGTCACTATAACAAAATAGGATTGGAGAAAAATATGGCAAACTTCAGGAAATTCATTTTGAGCTAGATGAGCTATGCTATAGATATTGTGCAATATTTCTTCTGTGAGGATTGGTAAGTGATGCAATGGGATTAATAGCTAATGCTCTAAATAGTGGTTTATATGCAAACATTGGGATCAAGCGGTATTTGGCTTGAGGAACAATGAATTGTTGAACCCAGAGAAGTGGCTATTCAGTCAGAAGAATGTGGTTTTCCCCACACACACTGATTATGCCTTGTTTGAGCCACACAAGGTAACAACACGGAGTAGTTCTACTACCTGGGGCACCAAGACCCTCACAAGCCATGAGCAATCTGTTAGCTAAACTGGTGTGTGACTTAAAATCAGCAGACCAAAGTGTAGGATGTCTTCCTTGAGGGCCTGTCGTCATTTCTTTTCCACTGAGCACCTGGATAGCCAAGGATGGACAAATTTCTGAGAATTAAAAGAATTCAGTATGTCTCACAATTAACTAGCAGCTACTCTCAGAATTAAGGGTGGTGTGAAAAACGATACAACTAAACAAACTCTGAGACAGAAGGTCCCTAACCTCCTTCAGTACAGCTGAAGAGCAAAGGTTGCATCATTCTGGCATTTTCAATTAGAAACTTAAAAAAATATCCTTTACCATACACAAGAGAGGGTGAGTGAAATGAGATAAACTGTCTCAGCCCAGAGTTCAACATCTGTGAAGATCACAGCTCTTCCACTTCATCTCATCTCTAACTAGTTGCTTAGCCTCTGTGAGCCAGCTTTATTATATTAAAAAAAGGCACGTTTTAAATCACATTGGTATAGCTCAAGCATTGCTGGATAGGCTAAAGAAAATGACTCTAAGGCAAGAGATCTAATTTAAAATCCCCCCCCCCACCATGTAAGCCCATATAAGATAAAATTAGTAAAACTTGCAGACTTCATTTTCCTCCCATATTTTGGCCTGTTACATTTATTAAATTCTTTCAAGGACTTGCTAAGTAAAAGCTCAAGTGTCTAAATAAGGAAAAGGCATCTAATTTGAGCCCTGAGTCCACACAGTAGCCATATGACCTTGGTCAAAATCCCTTACATTCTACTCAACATTGTTGTGACATTGTAAAAGCAAATAATACTAGCTACCTTTCTCACATTATATTATTTAGATCACATAGGCTAAACTATGTGAAATGACTTTATGAGCTGCAGATCACTACACAAATAATAATCTCTACAGGATGTCTCATCACTAGGCAGCACATGTTAAAACATTTCGGTCTTCACCATCAAAATATGGACCAGTCATCCTAGAGCCTCACCATGGCTTGCATTCAACTCCTCTCTCACTATGATCTGGTCCTTGACCTTCTTGGCATTATCCCTTGCTTCTGAACCCAACTTAATGACAGAGGTGACTTACCTGTGTGAACCTCTGGCAAACATCCTACTTAAGTCATGGTCACCACGGAACCAATCTAGCACCCTGCCCCTTAGAAGATGTGCCCTAGAGGGAAGAAGGGAATATATTACTTTCTCTCACCTCTCTATTTCTATGCCCGTTTCCTGGGGACAGGCAAAATGACTCTTCCTAAGCACAAAGGACAATCCTTTGACTCAGCTGAGGATAAGAGGGACCTGACCTACTCGCCACAGGGTCAGCACTGAGAGGCCTAAGAACGTCCACCTTCATGGAGACCGATGGGGCTGTACCAGCTCCACCTGGAGATGGACTCCCAGAAGCTTTGAGAATCAAGGGACAAAGAAGCTCTTCTCTGCTTTGTGATCAGGGGGGAAAAAAGCAGCCCATTGCCCTGTGACTTCCAGGCCTTTATGCTGATGAATACGTTAGCAAAAATAAGCCTCAAAAGAGCCTGCAGAGACTCAAACCATTTCTCTGATCCAATAAGGAAAGACATTCAGCATCATACTATGAGGTGCACCACACAGGCAAAACACTTAACATCACTCTTGAACCTCTACAGAGTGGGGTTTTTAAATTCCTCACCAGAGATGAAATGAAAGGAAACAAAGCTATTTTGCTGCCTCTGTGTCTCAGGCACTGTGGAGGATGCTCTACAACGTGACCTCACTGAGCATTCTCACCACTTTGGAAGGCAGCTGTGAACATCCGTCATATGTGGCTGCCTGATGTGTTATGAACCCCTCCTTACATTTTCATAATTTCCCGTGTTGATAATTCTGCTCCCAGTCAGATGCACCTGCATGAGACTTCCTCTTGTATGTGAGCAGTAGCAGTGTGGAGGCTTTTTGGGGTATTTGTGTTGCTGGCATGGGTGGTGATAGAAGAGTCCCGGTTTGCAAGAGGAAATTGCAGCTGTAGGAAGATCAAGCTCTGGAAGATGGGTTCTCGCTGGCAGAGGAGGCAGCAGCAGGAGGGTCCTCATGAACTCACTCCTGCAGCATGGTTTTCATCGTTGTTTTAGAAAACTTAGCTTTGAGTCTGGTTCTCTTGCCTGCTCAACAATTTCTGAGCTACCTAGTGTGCTTCAATAAGCTCCTTTCTGTAAATATCATAAAATTGGCTCACACAGGCCAAGCAACTGTCCAAAATCACACAGCTAGTTAGAAATGAAATGGAAATGGAAAACTTCAATCTCCATAGGATGTTGAGCTGTTTACTGAGGCAGCTGATTTCATTTCAGTCCCCCTCTCTTGTGTACTGTAATATTTAACTTATTGATTCAGCCTTCTTTGTTCCAGGCTAGAACCTACAGATTGTGTGGCCATCAAAATATTATGATCTTTGGGGTAGAGAGGGAGGCTCTGCAGAGATTTTCAGCAACTGCCCATGGCATAAACACTAAGTGGCACAACGTGCTGTCAACTGAAATGATCCTTGGTGACTCAGACGTGTTCTTTCGATGTGAGGTTATGCACTCTGTGACTCTCTGAGTCATTTCAAGGCGGAATGTGTCACTGAATAGAATTCCCAGCTCTTTATCAGACAGAAACACATTTCTGAGGAATTCTGGGTGCCTCAGGGGTGACTGGGCTTGGTTAGTGACTCAGAAGGGAGGCAACAGGGACTTAAGAGAGACATGGTTTTACTGCTTCTGTGTGATTTTCATGAGTGTTTTTGACCCAGACACTGTAATGATGAGGAAGCAAGTGGGTCTCCTGGGGACAAACATGTGCCTTGGGAAATACAAGAAACAGGAATTCAATAGATGAGCAGGCGGGGAAAGACCCAAAGTTAAAAAGTACGTGTTGTGACCAGGCATTTATAAATTGTACAGAGCAGCAGTTTAATCCCAGTCATTTTCCCCCTTGCTATAAATTGTATTTTTTCCATTTTTAAATAATTATTATAAAGGGAATCAATTTCATGTATTTCATACATACAGTTTTAAGAACACAATGATACTTTCCAACCTCCCTTCCTCCCCTGCTCCCAATCTCCATCCTCCTTCCTTTCTTGTTTTTCTTTTAATTCCCAAGAAACAGTGGTTTTTCTACCTACAACTTGTTGAATTCTTTATTTAGAGGACGATTAAGCTTGTGATTATAAAGCAATTTGAAAGTATGTCATCATAATCCCAGTCTTATATCTCCCAGCCATCTGCTGGTGTGTTCAGAGAATGAAATTAGCTTAGATGTCCTTCTAAAGGACATCATGGGGAAGCAAATCTGCTGAGAAAAGTCATCACAATTCCAAAAGTAAACATTTTCAAATGATCAGCTTGTCTTTGCTATGATCATCTCCCATTGCACCTGCTATATGAACCCCAAAACACTCTCTTGTGATATTAGCCCTGAAAGCAGTGTCTAGTATTGTTCTTCCTCACCTACCTCAGTAGTATTTCTCTGGCACATGATGCCACCTGCAGCTAGGCATTAACTTGCTTTCCAAGTCTTTTCCTAAATGAATTGAAGAAAGTCATCAATTGGTAGAAGTTTTAAGACATGAATTCTATGTAAGATAAAAACATAATTCGCACTGACCTCCTGAATCAACAATTTTCAGACTTGTGGTCACAGAATTCTTATTTCAAATGAAGATTTAAGACTCCAGTATATAAACTAAAAATAAGGGCTATTTTATTTGTACAAGGGTAGAAATTTAAAAATTTCCAATTTACTTGTTTCGACATGTCAATAATAATGAAACTATCTTGATAGTCAGAAAACTGAAATCAACAGTTTGATTGGTAATTATAGTCTTATTTTAGTGCCCAAAAGCAATGCATCTCTATATACTTATGGTAAAAAAATTTTAAAAAGACATAATTCACACAGAATATACTACAAATGTGGAAATTTTAACATCTTGCCTCAAAACTTCAAGATCTTCTTTAATACTTAAGATTATAGAACTTAAATAAGAGTATTACAAGATTATGTTCCAAGGTTGAACATTATGAACAAAGAAGCCAGACAAAAAGCACGAAGTATGTACACGTTCCAAAAATATCAATAAAATAATATCATAATGATGCAACCTACTACATATTCACCTGTTATTACACAATTGAAGATGACCCAGTGGCAAGGGCACAGACTGAGAAGACATGTCTAAGCATTTCAAATGATTGTTTATTGAAATTTCTGTTTAATTATATGCATGTACTCCCCTGTATATAAATCCATAAACAGAATCAAGTTTACATGAAGGTATTACCATTTCCCCAACCTAATACTTTCACAGAATGCTCACATACATGTGGTGTCTCACTCATGGATGCCATAGCAAATCATCAGAAACTTGGTGACTCAAACATTTTCCTCTCACAGCCCTGGAATTTGGGAAATCCAAAATCAGGGTGCCAGCAGAGTCAGCACCTTGGAGGGCTCAGTTTTCTGTTTTGCGGAGCCATCTTTTCATTATAAGGGCACTAATCCTATTCATGAGAGCTTTGCCCTCTTGACCTAATTCCCTCCCAAAGGCCTATCTTCTAAGATCATCACATTAGGGGTTATGATTTCAACTTATGGGCTTTGTGGGGAAATATATACTCAGTCAGTAACATGTAGGAATCACATAAGCTTTGTTATGAAACTTAAGCATATGCACACGTGTGAATGCACACACCCACACAAGTTTACTAAAGCTACATGGTAACAAATTTGAGATTCTCCTCATGATAAAAATATAGTATGTCATATATCTGAATGGTTCCTTGTTTTCATATTGTGGTTTTAAAATTACTAAATTTAGTCCAATGGTAGGTAAACTGCCAAAACTTTGAAAAACTTAGTTTATTTGAACTCTAAAAACCTCTGTAGTAAACCAAAATCAACAGATTGAAATAACAAAATTAAAGAAGAGGCAAACTCTTCATCCTCCTCATCATGACCTTCACACAGCAGAACCAAATCCTCCAGGTACATGCTAACATGGACTGGCTTAATGTGTCAGTGGTTCCTCAAGACCTGCTGTGTGAGATCAGCCATGGAAGATCCCACTAGGACCTGCCTTTCAAGCTACACAAGTTGCTAGTGTTCATGTAATCATGCTTAAAACATAGGCGTACATATGAAGAAATTCTTATCCACAAAACAAGATAAAACCATTTTGATCCCAGAATCTCGGCCTCACTCAATACGTAGTTTAGTCTCTGCTTCTACAGAAATCTGAGAAGGGGTCATATATTTTGAGGACTCTCCTGTGCGTAGAATATATTCATGCTGGGCATAGGACACATGTATTCACAGAGCAACTTATGTGTTATAGTTATCTTTAGGAGAGGTGTATATTTTCCTAATAAGCCCTTTTTTCTTTGAAACAAGATACAAGCCATCAGTTGACTGAGAAGTACATGTATATAAAAGAATTGAAATCATCAGGAGACCTATTTATCATAATGATGGCCTGCCACCAATGAATGTATGAAACTGAGCAGAGGTGAGGACTCAGGGAAGAATATATAACCCATTAAGTATGTTTGCCTCCCAGCAACCAAGGCAGTATTTTGTCAGTAGCAGAAAATCTTTTTGGCGGAAGGCCCATAAATCACTTAAATGCCCTATCCATGTTAAGTATATGAATAGCATTGACTTTTGGCAGCATAGACACATATTTTGACATTGGGGGTTAGGATTTCAGTATACGAATTTTGGGGGAGGCTACAATGTTCAGTTCATAAAATGTATAAGCTTTTTGCCACTTTCTGTCTCTTTGCCTTTCCAAGAAATACAAGTAAGAATACTATAAAATAAGTATTTATGGTTGTACAATTCAATCACTGAATGTTAAAACTATCAGTGAAAAGAGTAATTGTGATATATCTAGGAAGTTAAGAGAAGAAATTTACATATCATGGATGCAATAATGGTGAAGTTCCTGTAAATTAGAACTGCAATTCTTCTTTCATTAACATATCTTTAACCTTAACACAGAATGAACCCCTCTCCAATTCAACAAAACATTGTTTTAGCCTAGAAAGAACCAAATAAATAATTTAATTCACTATTCTATTCTCATTTTGGAAATAAGTAAAGTGAGACTTGGAATACAGAAGTCACAGGAGTAGTTGGTAATTGTACAGGGACTGACTCATATGTTGGTCTTCTGATCCTTAGCCTTCTGCACATTTTTTTAAAACCCATCACTGGGTAGAGAAGGGACATGGTTATCCAGCTGCTATAATAATCTACATTTGGGTTCTCTCTGACCTGGTCCTGTGTGACACTCGGCTCATACAGGATTTCCATTTTCATGTATTAGTTGGCCTCTCCAGGCACGGAATAGGAAAGCACAATTTCCAGGTCAGCCATGATTCTAGCATTAATAGAACTCCTGAGACAGGTCACACCTCTCCACAGCGTGTCATGCAGATAAGCCCACCAAATGTGCCCAACACTCTAACATTACATCATTTAGAACATTTTGAACATTTATTTGCACTGGGAAGACTATCAGTAAAGCCAAAGATTGGAGTGAACCAAAGTCAGCTCAAATTTTCCCCTTTCCTTTGACTTCTCTGTTCTACACATAATAAACGATTAAAGGATGGTTCCATACTCTAGGCTGCTTAAGAAAAATACAAGCTGTTTGCCAAGATACTGAAATTACCTAGATTCATCTCATTGAACCCCCAGGTTATCCAGGCATGTATTTAAATGAAAGACTGGATAGTTTCTTAGTAACTTGTACTTTCATTGCTAGAGCGGAGTAAAGTAAAATGGTAAGACTTAGGAAAATCCTGTCCAAAGGTGAAATTTTAACATAGTTTGAAGGAACATTTTCTAAAAGAACAATATTAATATCCCAATTACTGGAAAAAGAGGAGACTTTGAACAGTGACTGTAGTTTTCAGATGATAGGTAAGGGCCTGAGATGGTTCATTATCATCCTGGAGGAGTCATTAAAAGGCTACACCAAACTGCATATTTTTCTATATAGTGAGACCTGAAAAGTTATTTTCCTTATTACTGTCATTGTTATAATTACTGCTAAAATTATAAGACAGCATTACACAACAAGAATGAATGAGTTCCATCCCTTCCAAATGTGGTCTTGTACTGTCAAGGAGGCATTCTAGAATAATATCAGGTCATTGGAGCAAATTTGTAGTATACCCAAAACTCTGAGTTATGGAAAAGTTATCTTCAACCCCCTAGAGATGCAAATTTTCTTATTACGTCCATATTAAAACATAAGTGTACGAGTTTAATAGAAACCTGAAAGGAAGGAATGGATGGGTTTGACATCCAGATATTGCCTTTGAGACACAGTGAGGTAGATCAACTTATTCAAGTTTTAAATTTTTGAAAATCTAGTGAAGATGGTTTTTAAGTGTAGAGGGATAAAATAAAGGAATAATTACTGGGAGGAGTCAGATGGGTCAATAGGCAGTCAGGGTGGCCCCAGTGGAATCTGGGGTGTAGAATGCTTGCTTTCAACATAAAAGGTTATCTAAAGGTCCTCCCCTACTTCCTTAGAAACCTTCACATTTACCATGATTATAGCAGGGGAGTGGTGACTGCATCTTCCTGAGCTCACCGTCTATTGTGAAAACAAGTGAGCTATCCCACCCTTCTGGATACTTTTTTTTGTTTTATCATGAGCAAGCCAGACAGGATAAATGATTATAAATCAGGTCTTTTGATGGGTTTTGTTCCTGCCTGGTAACTTCCAATCTGATTATTTTTTTTCCTTTGAAATTGTACTTAAAAACCTCAATGCCACAAGGTCTGCAGGCACCTCCCCCACCCCACCCCTTGCCTCTCTGGCTGTAGATCTCTGACACTACTAAATGTTGCTTTTATACCTTAAAGAGAGAGAGAGAAGAAAGAACAACTGGGAGATAAATAAGGCAAGTAGAAGAAATACCAAAATGGATCAAGAGTCAGAGGCTCAAGCCTCACTTAAATATGTGACTCCTGTTTTTTTAATCATGTTTATTGAAGAACTTATATCTATAGTAAAACTCACCCCTTTTAGTGTGACAATGCATATGAGTGCCCAACTGTAGAGTCAAAATAAAAATGGAGTAAGTGTGACTAACAGCTAATTGCAGATCTCTTATTTCTGTACATGTTAACTCTGATAGCTCAAGGCTCAGGGTGTATCTTGTGAAACTATTAGGGCCCAAATTCCTAAGTTGAAAGAAATGTGTCCTGCACAGTCATCTTAACAGCCATATCTTGGGTTTGTGACTGGATTGTTCCTGGGTTTGTTATTGTTAACTGTTATCTTACAACCATGTTATATTTTTTATTGCCCACTGCATACCAACGGTTCAAAATTGTGAGCCCTAGTGGACAGAATACTATAAAAAGCTGTGTAACTCACTGTTGGGGGCCACACTCTGGTAAGAAATGTTGGTCCCTCCAGGTTGCCTTGCCTCTCATTTTCAGTAAGATTCATGTGTGACTGTCACTGGTTTTTGTAATATTCTATTTTAGCTGACAAGTAG